AAGGGTTTTGTTTGAACCGGGTATAGTTAGTTTTATTTTTTTAGGAGTAGGAGCTAGTGTGAGATGAATTGTATTGCTGTAATATCTCTGAGCTTTGTGATGCCTTGAGAATAGTTAGTACTCTGGTTGTGACGCTTAGGCTCAATTTTTGACCCTAGGATAAATACCTTAAATCGTGGATTCTTATTTTCTTAAATGCTTTGACTGGAGTGTCGTGATATAAACCAATCCTGAATGAGTTATGTGCCATGTCTGTGTGAGGTTTGTATGTATTCAGTGCATTGTATTTGATATCTAGAACGTGCCCCGTGGGTGTGCAAAGCGAAATAGTAGTCTTGTTCAGTCTGAAAAGTGATATAGGCGATTCTTTATTAAGCCAGATATATATAGAGTAACCACCTAAATATGATGTATCGTAGTTAACCCCGTTGAGCCTATAATCCTGTTTCTTTGGTAATCATATTACAAGTCGTACCCCGTTGTTTGAATCGACCATATATTTGAACCTTGTCACCTCTCGTGAGCACTTGAATTGTGATGAATTACGCAAAATTTAAAGTGTGGGGTGGTGGGTAGGCTTTTGAGTGGAACAAGTGAAATAAGTAGAAAGGTGCACCGTTTGAAAGAAAAAAGAAATGTGTCAATAAAATCCATTTGGAAAGAGAAAGAAAAAAGAAGAAAGAAAAAAGATATTTATATAACAGCTGTAGTGTATGAAAAATAATTTCTGATGGTGGTGGCTATTGATGTACTGGTGCTTAAAGAAGTAGGGGTAAAATATAGTGAAGTTAAGGCGGAGTTTTGGTTTGACATAAGTATGGGCTTGAAGGTTAAAGTGTTTGTATTAAAGTGCTTAAGGGAGGTGTAGTCACTTATATCCAAATGTATCCTACCCGACCCACAGCCTACATTACAACCAATGAAAATCCTATTTGATCTTAGACCGAATGAACTCGATTAGTAGAGTATTACACTACGGGCAAGCTTATGGTGCGTCATTTGGGGCATATGAAGGTTATTTATGAGAGCGAGTGAATTTTTCCTATCTTGAGTTCCTACATTATTAAAATTTTGTATGTGGAACTAAGCTCTTTGATTGGGTGAGGGCACATGATTCACAAAGGAAAGGTAATGTTGTTGACTTCCATGTTAGAGTAAGTAAGTGAATTGTGAATAAGCCATGGTATTTGTGAGTCGATTCTTGAGGCGAGGATGTCACACCTTTGTGCTTAAACTATTTTACAGATTCTTGGTATAATGAGTTAAGGGAATTGCTTAATAGGTTGTGTCCATGAGTGTAGTTTGATTGCTCGAGGACGAGCAATGTTTAAGTGTGGGGTATTGATGTGTGGCTATAATTCATGGTTTAACACATTATGTGCCTTGCATTTTACATGCTTTAATGATAAATTACACTTTATTTGCACGTGATGGAGTCTATTTTATATGTAGGTGAATTAGAGATGAAAGTAGAGCAAAAGGGATACTTAAACGTTGAAAGTGTGCTCGAGAACAATGAAAATAGAGGCAAGGCAAAGGCCAGCTCAACCAGGCTTTAGCCTTGCGAGGCCAGCCAAAGGCCAGGCTGAACCAGGCTTTAGCCTGGCGAGGCCAGGCTGAGGCTGGCGTTAGGCTGGCGACGCCAGGCCTGGGGCCAGGTCTAGTCCGAGTTTTGAAGACTTAATTCGTCTCCTGGTTTGACTAGGACTTAGCCTACATGTTTAGGTCTTTTCCTACACATATAAATAGACCTAAAAACGTCACTTTTGACATACTTTAGACAGCCGAGAGGAGATCGACTTCAGACCTAGGGAGAGCGCGGAGCCGTCGTGGAGACCGGAGATTCGACCTAAGGAGGCAAGAACATGCTAGGAGCAAGGTGGAGAATTCTTCTACGAGTTTTTCACTTCCTTCTTCCTATTTTCATTATTGGTTATGAATTATAGTATTGTAGTTGTGCATTGATAATAGGTGAATTTGACTATAATCACACCTTAAATAATCACCTTCTTGTGTAGTTTTAATGCTAAAAGTGATGATAAAATGCTCTTATTAGTGCTTTTCATGATTTGTAGGTGATATATGTATAAAGACGGCTAAGGAGCAGTTTTGGAGTCAAAAGTGATGAAAAAGAGGCCAACTGTGAAATTTCCTAAGTGACCCGTACAAAAACAGGCCGAAGATTCAGAGAACTGGATCCACCGCGGTTTCACCGCGACCGCGGCAGAACCGCGGTGGGAAGCAGCTGCAGAAGTTGTGAGAATCCGCGAGGGTGTTTGGCCGCGGTTCTACCGCGACCGCGGCAGAACCGCGGCAGGCGCAGAAACTTCTGGGACCAAAGTGTCAATTACGGGATTTTTAGACCTAAACCCTATTTAAAACATTAGACTTCGCCCAAGAGAGGCATGTATTGATTTTTTAGGTTTCTTAGCAAGGAAAACAATTGTGAGAAAGTACTCTAAACATCTTTCTTCTTTTCTTTTGATTTTATGATGAATTCAAGCTTAGTTTATGTTCCCATAGTCATGAGTAGCTAAATTCCTTGTCTAAGGTGTTGATGGAACCTATTGGGTGACGAACTTCTCGTTTATGTGAATACAAATTGCTAGTTTAATCTTTATTTGTTCAACTTCGTGTTCGTTGTAGTTAATTGACAGGATCCTCAATTAGCTGTGCCTATTTAGTGTGCATAACTTGGAAAAGAGTGCATATTTAGGGTATTGTTGAACAACACCACTCCTAGATTATTAGAGGAATCTATAATTGCGGGTTTAAAGGCGGGATTAGGAATAACGAAGCCTTGGGTGCAATCTAAATTGAATTGTGCTAAATAAAGTAAGCTAGTGTATCTCGGGAGAGTGCAATAGTAAATTACTGT